ACCCACGGCCCTATCAGAAACGTTGCTATCAGAAACAATGCCCGACTCCTTTGGACGTAATATGGTCGGTGTTTACATTAGCATGGCTAACACTCAGAGCTAACCTGTACTGGAGAGCATGTGTGTGAAGAAGCAGGAAGTAAAAAGGAACTCACCTTGTGGTATAACCGGAAAGAGAGAAAGCCTTTGAGCTCCATACTGTTTCAGAGATAATCCTTGATAATCCATGATATGGCGTTTCATCACGGCAGTATTTAGTTTAGACAGTAGCTGCCGGGTCCAGTTGAGCTCAGACCCCTCTTTTATTTATCAATTATTTTTATTCTTTAAAGCTTTATACCCAAATCAGCACTTTAGAAACAGGAAGTGAAACAGAGGGATATGAGGCATGGCTAGAATGGGTGACCTGTTTGGTATTTTGAGCAAAACACTTCATAGACATGTTTTTTATATATTTGTATATATCTGAGACCTATGCTAGCTTTAAAGTTCAAAAAGCTCTTTATTGTTCTCATACTGTCTGTGCTGCAGCACATCTTTTCACCCTCTGTCTGAAACCAGAGCCCAGTCTGCTCTGATTGGTTAGCTGGCCGGCTCTGTTGTGATTGGTCAACCGCTTAAAGAGGTCCTGCCCCTTAGCCTATCAGGTAGAATGTGTTGCTAGCCATTATAATGCAAGTGTTACAAATAGTTGTCTTGAGGGAACACAGGGATTTTAGCCTTTGTAGACCATTGACATGCACTAAAACCTACACACTACAGCAAAGTGAAACCCCCAATAAGCAGAATAGGGCCACTTTAACACTCTCCCGTACATTTCCCATTGCTGACTGTTTTATTCACGTCCTTAAATGTTACTAAACGCATTAATTTAAACATAACAATTACAACATCAACAAAAGGTTTAAAAACTGTAATCCAGGAGTTTTCCTCCCACAATAATTGTTTGTAGTTTAGTTTAGGAAAGGCAATTAGAAAACACGTTGTTTCTCTAACTTATAGAAGAGAGTTTAAGGATGTAAAAAATGTATCTATTTCAAAATGCACTGATCAAGAGTGAACAGGAGAAACATTTTGAGATTTGGATATGGATATCTGGATGCACTTACAGTAAGACAATTCTAATATAAACTAAAATAAGGGTTTCCCCTGTTCGGTAGAAAGAAATGCATGAAACACACACACACACACACACACACACACACACACACACACACACACACACACACACTTCGGTTTGAGTTAATAGAAAATGCTCAGCTCCATTTGCAGAACTGTACCTGATTGACTGGGCAACACTTATGTTACCTCTTATAGCTAAGTTTTAAACTCTGTATACCTGCATCCAAATAACAATGTGCCTTACCATCTGATTGAATTATTTCTTTTTGTAGAATGACATAGCAGACGTTCCCAGTGGAAGCTCAAAGAATGACAAGAAGGGGAAAGGGAAAGGAGACACGGTGAAGGCCAACGTCACACCGCAGGCCAGCTCGGACATGGCCCAGAGCTCCAACTCGGCTCACAATAACAACGCAGAAAACAAAAAGGGTATACACTGACTCTTAAACACACTAAAGGCATACATATGAACGTTTGTTGTTAAAACATGACTTTTCCATGCTGTTTCAGATACTGCACTCGTGCCTAATGTCAGCATTGAGGACTTAAAACTAATGAAGGTGGGTAACTGAACAACTTACTCTAAACACAGGGCTCAGTCTGTAGGACAGAAAAGGTGGAAGAGTTATAGAATGTGTAATCATGTTGGTTGAAATGTTATTATTTTCAAAATAAGAACCAACAGAGGTTTGCTTTATTGAAGTTATTGCTAAACAATCATGTTGTAAAGTAAAAGTGAAAAGTTACGGTCACATTACATTGCCATTTGAGGACATTTTCCCATACTCTGTAAAATGATGGTCATATTCCTGACGTAGGTAATCGTACAGGTTTCATAAAAGGAGAATGATAAAGAGTAATATGTTTAAATATGATGTATACTGTGTACTCAAAGGCTACTCTCAACATGACCTGTAACCAGATTAATAATAGCACTTCTCCCCCTCTGCAGACGTACCTTAAATTGATTAAAAAGCAACAGAAGGAGCTCAACACTTTAAAGAAGAAGCAGGCAAAGGTGGGTGATTGTGTGAGAGCCGACCTGTTAGTAGTGCAAAGAGGCCGCTGCTTATTCCGGACCCTCATTGATGCTCCGCCTTTCATCTCTCACTGCTTCATCCCTGTGTTCGCCTGCACACACACACCCACGCACGCACGCGCACGCACACACACACAGTCTGTCCACATCATCAATGTTTAGTAAGAAATTATACTTGCTAAGGTGCTTTTCCTTTGACCAGAGCGTACCATAGCGACCGTGGTGAGTGTTCGCTCATTCACAGTGGCTCATTAATTATCATAGTATTAGGTACTATTGCATAACCCATGGATACAAGTGCCATCCAGACCCATCTGTTGACTGTTTGAAGACAACTGTTGGCTCATAACTAGATGTAGACAACAACATATTATTATTTTCAAAAATTACTATCAAAGATTTTTATTGTAGCTGCCTGCTTTTCTATCATATCTGTCTCTAAATTATTCTCAAATATGCTCATGGAGGAAGTTGATGGCTACAACTGCAATTCAAAAGTAGAAATAAATACTTGGTGATTAACATGTTGTTGTTTCAATAGGATCAAAGTGCAATGCAGAAAGCCCACTGCACCCAGGTGGACAAGATGGTGTCACAGAATGAGAAGGAGAAGACCTCCCTGGAGAAACTACTAGAGAAAGCCATTAAAAAACGAGGGTAAACGCAAGGAAAGCAACAGACATGAAAATAATCAATCATGTATACATGTGTCTGCTACCTTATTTTATTCATAATAAATCATGTATTCTTAACCACAATGTCTTGAAAACATAAATATTAAAGAAACAACTTTTAGACAACCTTTTGGAAATCTAAAGCAGATTTAGTTTGTGACTAAAACAAGGTCTCTTTAAAAGTTCAACAATCACATTTGCCCTTCATGATCTTATGGTGGTTTCCTCACAGGGAAAACAACTGCCAAGAGCTGAAGAAGGAGACGGAGGATAAGATCCAAACACTGACCGCTGATCACAAAATCAAGGTAACTTTTTACCCCAAAACAAGCCTCCTTTTTTCAGTGTTGGAAAGTCAATTATATCATGATTTTACTAAATGAATAAGGATACTCTCTAAACATGGTTTTACCTTTTTGCACTTGGCAATTTATCATTCATCTTAAAAAAGAAAACAAGAAACAAATGTGTCCATTGGTGCTTTGGGAGCAGTAGTCTGCACCATAATGTGATTCACTCTGAGTTATCAGGGATGGTATTGTTTTGAGCTGTGAGTGACGAAACCGGGATACGACCCAACCCTCGCTGTGATGTGAAGGGCCTGGAGTCACATTGACTGAGGTGTGTATCTGGAACTGTGTGTGTATGCAGGTAAAGGACATCACAGCACAGCATACTAAAGAGTGGTCCGAGCTGATCAGCAGCCACAGCAGCGAGGAGCAGGGGATGAAGGACGGCCACGTCACACAGCAGTGCGAACACCTCAAGAAACTCCTGACCACCGTGCAGGAGCAGCAGACCGTGCAGCTCAAACTCATCCACGAACGGTGAGAGGCTCACTCTCACTCACACACACACACACACACACACACACACACACACACACACCATTTACTGCAGGTGACCTGATTCCAAGAGGCTAACTCAAAGTCCCAGTCACCTTACTGTCGCTGTAAATGCCGGGTCTTCATCTACATGTGGCTGCTTGTTCTACAATTTCAGGCAGGGCAAAGAGATGCGTGCCAACCAGGCCAAGATGTCCATGGAAAACAGTAAAGCCATCAGCCAGGACAAGTCCATCAAAAACAAGGCAGAGAGAGAGAGGTGGGTCACACACACACATATACGTATACTGTATCCATCTATAATGATTAGTAATTCATTTGGAGAAGTGGTTTGTTGTGATTGTTTTGAGCCAATTGTTATACCATGATCATGTTTTTGCTATTCAGGAGAGTGCGAGAGTTAAACAGCAGCAACACCAAGAAGTTCCTGGATGAGAGGAAGAGGGTAGGTTGTTTTTACCCTTTCCTTCTTTGAACACTAAGCTAAGAAATATACCAGTAAATCTCACATTTGAAGTCATAATGAATATATATTAATGCCATTGAAATGTTTGGGTGTCTGTTACTACTTCAGTATTGTTACATTTCTAAGGAAACATTCCCACTTTAAAAAAAAAAAAGATGGAACTGGTCTTAAATGAAACAAGGCCTTTTACTGCTACTGAAAATATTTCATGACTTTTGTTTTGCTTACTTAACAGCAGTAGTCGTGACAACAAGTGTTAAACCTCTTGATTTGATGTTGCATAATGAACTAACACTATGTGACAACCTGTAGTGCAGGGCTTTTTACTCATGTGTGTTGATCACTACAACAAATAGAAGATGAATTTAAATCAACTTTGTTGGGTAGATTTATTTTGTAATCTTAATTTTGTGTACAGCGATCTTTGACTAAAAGTCATGGCTTGAGACTGTGTTATTATTGAAAGTTGTCATCAGTAACTGGGATTTGATTATGTTGTGTCCCTGTGTGTCTGCAGCTGGCCATGAAGCTACAGAAAGAGATGGAGCAGCTACAGAAAAACCAGAGAGAACAGTTGGAGAAACTGGAGAAGTTCAATGAGCAGGTACAACAAGTTACAGAGCCCACAGGCAGAGTGTAAATAACATTGGAGGCTGGGGACTAGCGCAGTTACCTGGCTGATTTCTTCACTATATGATGGAGGCACTTTCTGTCTTCTGTGATGTAACCCTAATAGGTTTTTGTAGGACGTTTTCCATATGACTGGCCTCAGAAATTTCCCAGACTACCGAGAAAGAACAATGTTGCTCTCAAAGAATAAATAGTCAACTTTCAAGTCTCAAAGTCTCAACACACAATATTATTCCTACATTGAGAGTTTATTCTGTACAACACTTGACTGCACCGTGTCCATCTTCCATACATGCAGATAGAAAAAAGCAACATTATGTAGGAATTGGTATTTTTGATTAATTGGAGTGCAAGTCATGTACACTTGCGTATACACATGCATTTGTTATGATCAAAAAGTTGTTATGATAACATTAGTAATGATCAAACCTAGCGATCCAAAGCTCCTGTGCTAAACTAACCAATGCTCAGAGTTCCCAGTCCTGGCAACACGACTAACTGAGCTAACGGCTAGCTTAACAGGAGTTAGCTGTTAGCATCACTTAAGCAACAAGTTAAGCTATCATTTGTTATAAAAATAAAGCAAGGCAGGGCAGACAGAGGACAACAGGACCAGTCAATCAAATAGGATCCAGTCTTTCCAACATCAACTAGGTCAGGGGTTCCCAAACTTTTCAGACCGCGACCCCCAAAATAACAGTGCCGGAGACTGGCGACCCCCTGTCGACTGGGGGGGGTGCTAGTGAATTAATTTCAGTTTTCCGCACTCTCGTGGGAGTGTCATTATTGTCTCACTAGTCCGCCCCTGAAAATGTCTATGCAAACGTTAGTATTAATAATAATTTTTTTTTTTAAATTATAAAAAAAATGAATCAATTTTTTTATTTTTTTTTATTTTCCATTT